TCTTAATTGTGCTTTGCAGAGGTTGATCAAAAACTGACAATATGTCTTTTTTCCACATCAATATGTTCAATATTACTGTGATGCTGTGTTTTTTCACAGGGTAAGCCATCTAAACTTATCGATAAATTTCATTGATCTATTGATTATATCTTGATCCTTCAAGTGATAACTTACAAGAAATGAAACATGAACTGTAGCTTCAATCAGAATCCCTTTTACAGACCTCAAGTCAAGCCGCTTCTCCCTTTAGTTTTTCCTGTACATCTAAAGGTGTATATTCTTGTGAAATTCTGAAATTGCTAAAAGTGAAGTCATTTCCTTATAAACTGAAAATATTGGCTCAAGTAAACCTATCCCTATTGCTGTAGGGTGATTTGAACAAATATGACACTTCGGTGCCACTCTTGATTTTTTGACCCCGCTTGCCCCATATGGGTAGAACTTCAAGTTTAACAAGTGTTGCCCCTCGCTTGTCCCACGGGTAAAACTTTTGACTTTTGTTCTTAAAGGTTTGTCCATAGGCAAGCGGGGGTCAAAAAAATCAAAACTATCCATTTTCAAAGTCATTTGGTGTAATTTTCTGATTACTATAGGTCTGCCTCTAGTAGATATAGCAGCACCATGGTGCGTAAAACTTTTGTGTGACTGTTGGTACATAATTAGAAGTATAAATGCATCTAGACGCACTGTTCAAGCGTCGGTGGACAGAATTACCCGTGTACTTGTGCTGGTAGGCGATAACAGGTACCTTATAGAAGTAGTTAACTGTGTGTGCAAACTGTATCGGACAGGACACCATAGTTATAAAAAAAATACATATACACGAACACATGAGCCAAAATTATTGGTGTGCCTAGGGGTGTACATGGATCAGGTTGGTTCGAGTTTTCAATTACCAAATCAAACCAATTGTCTCGGATTTTTAAATCTATAAACCAAATCAAACCAAACCAACAAAAGTCGGGTTTTTCAATCTCGATTTTTCTCGAGTTTTTCGATTTTCTCGGATTTTTCGACAAAATCTTCATGGCATAAATTTATAATTTGTGCTCTAATATTTCTTAGGTCCTAGTAGTATAAAACTAGATAAGATGTTACCCAATAAAATAATACAAAATAATGTGAGATGAGTCATGATTATACTGAAATAGTCAACAAATCGCATAAAATAAATATTTCTAATTAATAAGCCATAATAAAAATAAATATAATCTAAAAGTACTAAATCATGTTAAAATAAGTACGACTAATAAGTACTAAGTATTAAATACATAACTAAATAATATTAAAAGTAAGTTATGTATTTTCACTATCTAAAGTAATGAAAAACTAAGAAAATTCATTGCCAAAAAAAAGGAAAACTAAGAAAATAAATATCTAATACTATTATCATTCCTAGTATTGAATTGAATTTTTTTTGTTAACATTTTTATCGATTTGATTTTGCGTTGAAATTTATTTGAGTCACTAACTTTTATGGGCTATAAAACATATTTGACCATCCAAAAGTTCTAAATCAAAGCTTAAAATAATACATTAAAAGAGAGAACTATGAAAAAGGTTAAAAAATATTTATAATTTACATTACAATAATTATTTTTATGTATAAAATATTTTAAAACTTGTTTACATGTAATGTCGGGTTGGTTTGGATTCAGTTTGGCTTTTTTTAGTTAAAACCAAATCAAACCAATTATGATCGGTTTTTTTTCCTAACACCAAACCAAATCAAACCAAGCCATAATCGGATTTTTTTTCTCGGTTTGACTCGAATTATCGGTTTGGTGCGGTTTTTCGGTTTCCTTTGTACATCCCTAGGTGTGCCTCCACCATTGGCGGGTAGTAGGAAGGATGGACCATATTTATGTGTTAGTATAGAAATTTTTTTGCTTCGGAATAAAACAAACAATTGGAGGAGACAAGGAAAAGTTCAAGAAAGTGTACTATTTCTGTTATAACAGAAGTGTCAGTGTTTCATCGTCTCTACAAGTAAAAACAACAAAGTTTACAGTGCCAATCCAAAAAATTGAAGAGTATATTATCAAGAACCCAGCTAAGCTTATGAAGGAGCAGACTCCTCCACAATAAATTCATGTGCTCCTTTCCCTCAAACCCACTCTACACACTTGTTGATCTACCATACAAGTTACGGGTGTTAAAGTAGTTGGCAGAAATCTTTGTCCCACATCGGTGGGAAATGAATAGTTGGGGGGGTTTTCCCCCAATAAAAGAAGGCTTAATGTTTAGGATTTAAACACACCTCTCATTTGCCTTCTCATCTGTTTAAGGCATTTGTATCTTCTCTCTTTAGTATTATTTCACTTGTATTTTTGGAGTGGAATAAAATATTGGTTGTGTCCGAGGAGTAGGCAAAATTAGCCGAACCTCGTAAATTCTGGTGTTTCCTTTATTGTTGTTTTATTGTCTTATTTATTATTTGGTGGCTGTCATAATTTTTGGTATAGTAGTTGTGACTTATTCACACTATATACATTTGGCTTCCGCAACAACGGGTTCGACAGAATTCAGTAATTTGGATTCAAACGGGAGATATTACACTATATGCGCAATATTTATACGTATACTAACCAATGCCGTATTCAGGATCCGAGCTGATAGATTGAACGACATAATTTTTCATTTTATTTTGTTCAAAAAAATGACTCTTTTATATATTTAAAAATAATTTAACTTTAAAACTCTTATTTTATCATTCATAATTTAATTTTATAGTCGCAAAAATATCATTGTATATTTAAGACTATAAATTTCAAAAGTCTTTCGTTCTTTTTTAAACTACGTATTCAGTTAGTGTACTACAAGTCTCCCCTTGGTGAGCTCTACAATAGAATATGCTTTTCTTCTTCCATGCCCCAATGTTTACAAAGTTTATGGAGTAATAAGAGGAGATTAGAGAACATAAACTTGGAATGGATAGAAGGATTTAATTTACATATATGAACAATGTAAAAGAAAATTAAACTATTATTGTATTATACCATCTTATTTCTTCCTATGCGCGTACCATTTGACCTTGTGTTTTGTCTTATAAAGCTTTTCTCTTTTTCTTTCTCGTTGTGATGTGGATTCGTCTAAGGTGTTATGTGCACACTTTTTTCAGAAGCTTATCAGTCTAAAAGCCTGACAGTCCTTCTCTTTGATCTGTCCTCATCGGCCCGCCCTCTGTCATGAACGTCGCAATTATATGGGTGAAATTAAAAAATAGCCAGATTTACAAGTGGTAATTGAAAAATAGCCATAGTTTTAAACGTAATCGAAATTTAGCCACTTTTCATGTAAAGATAAATCTGAACGAAAATACTATTCAAAATCCGAAAAATATTCCAGCATAATATACTGGACTCCAGTATAATATACTGGAGTTCTAGCATAATATACTGGACTTCCAGCATAATATACTAGAGTTCCAGTATAATATACCGGTCCAACATAATATGCTGGAATTTCATACACATGTGTTCCAATCTCCAGTATATTATGCTTGAACTTTTTGTGTGTTGGAGTTCCAGCATAATATGCTAGAAGTTCATACACAGTTGTACTAATCTCCAATATATTATGTTGGAAAACTTTTCTTGTTGCAGCAAAATAGTGGCTATTTTTCAATGACTTCGCAAACACTGGTTATTTTTCAATTACTAGTCCGAAAACTGGCTAACCCATGCTATTTTCACCAATTATATAAGTCACGTTAATATGATATTGTAAAATAATTATCAGTGTTTATAAGTTAAACTCGATGAAAATCTTGAGGTGATGATTGAAGGAATATTTATGGCAATTAAGATGATGTGTTCAAGTTTCTAACGGCTCTATTTCTCAAAATCGAGCTTCTAAGTCTGTTTTATCGAAAACGATACATGATGTAATAGTAATCTTATAGTAGTAACGTAGATATATATATATATATATTTTTCCATATAATTGATTTTGCAAACAAACAAAAAAAGGAAACTACGTCGAAGCTTGTTTTTTTCAAACTTATTCGTGAAATTGACCCTTTTTTTGCCAACCTCTGCAGCTTCCTCCAAATCTTTTCTTGCCTTATTTAAACTTTCCCACATTTTGTCTCCTTATTTCTCACTCTTTTTATTCCAATATTACCCCTTTCAACTTTTTTCTCACTTATTATATTGAATTTTATTCTAACATTATAAATAGCTACTTATCGAAAGATTATCGGAAACAATCTCTCTACCTGCATAAAGTAGGGGTAAGGTCTGAGATCCCACTTGTCGGAATACAATTGTTGTTGTTGTTAGCGTAAAATGCTACTTCAGTTTTTCTTTATGCGATGTATTTTAAGTTTTAATTTGTCTAAAAGATAATGATACTTTTTTATATTTAGAACAATTTAATTTTAAACTCTTCATTTTTAACGTAATGACATAATTTTATAGTCACAAAAAGATTTATAACATATTTTAGACCACAATTTCAACAAAATTTCTTTATTTTGCAGTCAAATACCTTCACAAACGAGACGGAGGGAGTAATAAATTTACTCTAGAATTAATTAAAGATGTCGATAGTAAGTATGCACAGATAATCGAAGAGAAAATAAGTACTTATTACTTAATTCGACCAGTTAAACAACCACTAATTAATCCAGGGAGAACTAAAAAAATCACAGTAATTTAGTTAAATTTCTTTATAATGACGTTGTATATATATAACTAAATGCTTTAACTTATATGTGATGATGATATTTAAGTGTATTTTTATATAATCAATGTAATTTAACCTGTTGAATATAGAACATTATATACCTTATTTTACTCTAATTATTATGGATAATAATTACCTTAAACCCCTACCTAAATATTACCAATCTGCTATGTTTTACTATTTTCATTTTCATTAATAGATGCTACAAATTACCAAAGGGTCAGTCTAGGAAATTCTTCCAATTTGTCTTCTTCTTGAAATTGTTATAAACCCCATACTTTCCTCTAATAACTCAAATATATATTGCATATATTCTCTTCTCTTCCCTTCTAAAACCCAACTAAAATAAACCTTCTCTTCCCACCTCCTTCAATCACTTACTTCCATTACTCTTCACTTTTCTGTCGAAGTCTATCCTGCAGAGGTACTCAAATACAAAAAAGTTACTACTATAAAAAAAATTAAAAATGACTAGTCATTACGAGGATATATACAGTGTCAGTGACGACTACAACGAGGACGACGACGACGACGAAGAAATTGTTGAAGAAGAAGAAGAAAATAACTCACAAGAATGTAACAAATTTCAAGAAGGTAGAAATAAAGGAGAATTATTCATAGAATTTTTCTCAAGAAATAAGATAATAGACCCTAGAGCACAATGGGTTCAAGAATGGAACAGAGTATTTTTATTAGCATGTGCCATAGGGCTATTTTTAGACCCTTTATTTTTCTATGCTCTTTCTATAAGTGAGAGTTGCATGTGTCTCTTCGTCGACGGTTGGTTCGCCGTCACCGTGACGGCGCTCCGGTGCATGACCGATGCATTGCACGTGTGGAACATGTGGTTGCAATTCAAGATGATCAACAGATCGCGGCGAAATCATATGGTGGCTCAGCCATACTTTAAGGCGAAGAAGGGTTTCCTTTTTGATCTCTTTGTTATCCTCCCTTTACCCCAGGTGAGTTTGTTCTATTCATTTCTTACGTCCTATGTTCCTCGAACTCTTTAAAAATATCATTGGGTGCGTATAAGATTTTCCAAAAATGGTACATTTTCGGAGGATCCGACACTGGTGCAACATCGTTTTGGAGAGTCCGAACAATATATATAGCTTATGACCACCAGAGTCGGAACTAAGATTTGAAAGTTGATAGGTTCTGAATTTGCCATGAAACCCATAGCTTGTCTTAGTTACCGGGGTTCACAATTAAATGTTTGTACATATTTAATGAATTTCCTAATACTAATACAATATTTAAGCAAAAATGACTGGGTTCGACTGAACTCGCACTCAATGGACTAGCTCAACTTATGGCTCATGCTCTTGAAAGAATCAACAAATAAATCTAGCTAGATTATTCACAATCAGACGTGGACATAGAGTACAATATATAGGTTCACAGGACTCCGATAGTTTTTGCATAGACCCTAAATATATATTAAGAAATTTACTAAATATTCATAAATATTTGGCAGTAAACCCAATTATTAAGGTATATTAATTAATTTGAAGTTTCCGTAAAAACTCATAAGCTTTAAATTTTGAATTCGCTCCGGTTCACAATTTGTTTTATTTTGAATCAAAATGGTGCATATATCTTCTGAGGTATCAATAGTAGATAGAAGGTGATGCCAAATAGTATGATGTATGTTTTGGAATTTAGCATGAAATTATACTAAAAGATGACAAAGCTGGCATGCATGTCATCCGTTGCTTTTGTTGCATGCAGCGACAATAGCAGTAGGCATGTGATATAACCTTGATTTTTAAGGAAATTTGTACAACAAAGTATTATTAGGCGGATACAGAATTTTGAATTTATGAGTTCTGAATTCTTGAAAAGGTTGTTTATTACTATTAGATTTTAAATAAATTATTTATATATCTTTAGTAAATTTCTTAACATAAATATAATTAAGGTTTTGGCCTAAGTTATTGAATTCCGTCGAGCCTAACTAGAATTCTAACTTTGCCTCCGGCTCAGGGGCGGAGCTAAAGTGTAGCTACTGGGTTCGGCCGAACCCAGTAGCTTTGGTTCGAACCCTGTATTTATCTTAAAAAATCCATTGAATATGTATAAATTATTAATTTAGAACCCAGTAGATTAAAAAGATTAGAATTACGAACCCATAAGCTTGAAATCCTAGCTCCGCCTCTGCTCCGGCTATGTGTTTATCTTTGCAAATGACATTTATTTTCGACATATTTTGTGCATGCGGAAGATAACCTCATACGAATGAAAAAGTTAAATTTTTTTCTTATTGCCTTCGTTTTATTTTATGTGAATTTATTTGACGGACCATGAACTTGAAGAAAAACAAAAGAATTTTTAAAATTTATTATCTTAAATATGATATGAGATTAGTATAGCAAATAAAATCATGCAATTAAGAAAAAATATAAGAAGTTTAATATTAAATTATTTTCAAATACAACAAGGTGTCACTATAATTAATTATTTCCACTTCCACATTAATTTTTAACTATTTAGCACCTATGTTGCGCAGACTATCCAATATGCTGTCATACTCGTGTCTGATTCTTCAAAATACACTACTTTTGGAGGATCCGACACGCACCTGGCGATATTTTCGAAAAGTCCGACCAACATAGCTTAGCATGATAATATAGTTTTCAAATTTTTTGGACGTACTTAATTAATTCACAAAACAAAATTTGCAGCTAGTGATGTGGGTAGGAATCCCAGCTCTATTGGAGAAAGGATCAACAACAACAGTGATGACAGTACTATTAATAATGTTTCTGTTTCAGTATTTGCCCAAAATCTATCACTCCGTTTGCCTCTTGAGAAGAATGCAGAATCTCTCTGGCTACATCTTTGGCACTGTTTGGTGGGGAATTGCTCTTAATACCATTGCTTATTTTGTCGCCTCGCACGTAAGGACGATCTTGTCTTACATTTTGGCGCAGTCAGACCTTTCTATAAAAGCTATCCTTTATAATAATATTTTATTATAACGGCTAAGTTTTCTTTGGAACAAATCGTTCATGTTATGTTATAATATATGTTCTCTATAATAGTACTTCAGTATAACAGCCAAACAATTTCAAAACAAACAAGATTGTTATAAAGAGATTTGACTGTACTTACAAATTTTAAAGGAGTAATACTTTTACACCATTAGTCAAATTACTTATAATAACATGTAGTGTAATTGTTTATAACAACATGATCCTATAATTCGAAAAATTAAGTGAGTAGTTTGTTATAACAGGTCAATACATTGGCTTTACTTTTTTTTTTTTAGTTCGTTTAAAAAAGAATAAAGTGGCGTCTTTCTATTTGTAGAAACTCTTTATTAGCTTTAAAATTTTCGTTGTATCCCTTAATGAAATGCTCTTGTAGCAATGGAAATGTTAGAATATGTTTAGGATCACAAGTTTTAAGAATAATTTTGATATGTGTCAAAAGTCTGTCTTTCTTTTTTAATTGAATTTCATGTCCCGTCAAAAACTGCTACATAAAATAAAACATATGGGGTATTAAAAGTTCAAAATATATGAACTAAGAACGAGTAATCCACCCATACTTAATTATAGTCTCTCCATTTCAATTTATGTTGCAAAATTTGAATAGACACGGAGTTTAAGGGCTTGTTTGGCCATATAAAATTCACTTTTTTTGAAAAAATTTCACTTTTTTCGTAATTAGTGTTTGACCATAAAAATTTCGAATTTCACTTGAAGTTGAATTTTGTAGTTGTTCGGAATTTGAAAAACTCCAAAAAGGTGTTTTTCAAAATTTTCACTTCAAATCACTCACAAAAATCCAAAATAACTCTAAATTGTATTCATGTTCAAACACAACTCTAATTTTTAAATACCATTTTCACTTGAATTTTTTTTACTTTTTTTCCCGAATTTCACAATTCTTATGTCCAAACGCTCACTAAGAAAGAAATAAAAACATTTAAAAATTGTGGTCATAAATATTGAGCAGGCGATATTATTTTTATGTTATGTATATTCGATGTTTTCGTGTGTTTACTTTTTATTTTTATTTTTTAAATCCCCTTGATAAAAATTCTGTTTCCGACACTGGAGCAGGCCGTGGGAGCATGTTGGTACTTGCTAGGAATCCAAAGGGCAGCAAAATGTCTAAAAGAACAGTGCAGAGTTACAAATGGCTGTGGCCTCAAAATGTTGGCATGTCAAGAGCCAATTTACTATGGAACAAGTAATTTAGTGAAGGAAAAAAGTCGATTAATTTGGGGAGAAACCAGTAATGCAAGATTTACATGCTTAAACAATGGAGAAAATTTTGATTATGGAGCTTATAAATGGACTGTTCAACTTTTTGCAAATGAAAATCGTTTTGAGAAGATACTTCTTCCCATCTTTTGGGGTCTCATGACTCTCAGGTAATTTTATTTCGTCCTCCGTTTCAATTTATGTAATAGTATTTTCTTTTTAGTTCGTTAAAAAATTGATAGTTATTTAAATTTTAAAAATTATTCAACTTAAATAAACTTTCATTTTACTCTTAATGGAAAGCTTTTAGAAGTCTACATGCAGTGGCAAAGTCAGAAATTTTTTTAAGGGCGTTCAGACGTAAAAGAAGTAAAAAATTTACTGACAAAGAGTGTTTAATATATGTCATATACGTCTGAAATCTAATATTTTACTTATATATATATACAGTATAATTTTTCGTAATATTTAGACCACCCTTAACAAAAGCTGGCTTCGCCCCTATTTGCATGGTGTAACCGCTCACAATTGTAATAGCCGAAAAATATATAGTTTTTATGTATTAATATCTATTATACATTTTTTTTATACATAGTCAGTGTATATTTTATATATATATTTAATTAGTGATTGTAATTAATTTTGACAGATTGGCCAAATATGTTAATTAACCGTATAATTTTATAGCCAATCAATTCTTTTGGCATGTTCAAAACCGTAAATTTAATTTATTCTTGCCTAGTGAAATTATGCCACATAAATTAAAATAAATTAAAACGGAGAAAGTAATTAGTGGTTTTTCTTTTTGTTTGGTTATGTTTATATTGAGTAAAAAACAAATTAATCAAAGTGGATTATGCATATATGATTATATTGAACAGTACATTTGGGAACTTGGAGAGCACAACAGATTGGCTAGAAGTGATTTTCATAATCATCGTTCTTACCTCTGGGCTAATTCTGGTCACCATGTTTATTGGTAATATCAAGGTAAATTTCCTAATGTTGTAATTACCACTTGATAGAGAAATATTATATTGCTCTAATAAATGGAAAACGTAATAATATGAAGAATTTAACTTATATCTAACACCAATATGATAATGTTTTTTACATTCTTAGTATATGTGTAGCTAGTAGGTAAAATTTTCTTTATTTTTCAAATTTCTAATTCTACTTTTTATGGATGGTTACATGTAGTTATCTTTTAGGTGACCTGATAATATAAAAATATTTTTACCTGTCAATATATGGAAGTTGTAGTTTGACTTAATCTCTTTATGATAATTAAACGGATCCATTTTGCAAGTTTGTTATTACCGGTAGTTCCTACAAAGGATCGGACTAATGACGTATACAATACTTGAATACACGACCTAATAAGAAAAGAATGAAAAAAACGATGTTTCCAGCTTCTGGTCTTTGACATAAAGAAATAAATAATAACGAAGGGGACATTCCCCCCCCCCCTCCAACTTTGAACGGTAGTTATTGCATAGAATAGAAGGAGAAAAATGTCTGTCGTTTAAAGTTGGAGGTGAAGTTTGATACTTAAAGCAAATTTCGTAAGTGCAAATAATTTTCACCCTTTAAGTTATACTCCTATATACACTGACAGTGTAAAGTTTCTTACGCGTTAATTAATCAGTATCATTTAAGCCTATGATAACAGATGGTTAATTAGCTTTTACTAGTTACCAATTATAAGTAACTCGATCGTATAAATATTTTTTACACTATTAATGCATAAAACGTCGAGGCATATGTTGATACATGTAATGCAGGTGTTCTTGCATGCAACAACATCAAAGAAACAGGCAATGCAACTAAAGATGAGAAATATAGAATGGTGGATGAGGAGAAGACATTTGCCTCGAGAGTTAAAGCAGAGAACTCGAAATTTTGAAAGGCAAAAATGGGCAGCAATGAGAGGAGTTGATGAATGTGAAATGATCAGAAATCTGCCTGAGGGCCTTAGGAGGGACATTAAATATCATCTGTGTTTGGACTTGGTCAGACAGGTAAAGTTTTTGGTGGTTTAACCTATATTTTTAGTTGCTCTAAGATAATAACCGACAAAATGTATATTTTTTAGTATATATATGCAGTATATATAAAAAATTAAAATTATTTTATGTACTTTTAGCTAGCAAGTGCAATTAACTTCGGTCGACCTGCCAATTTTGTATTTTGCCCATAATTCTTGGTGAAAACGAATTCAGGATTTGAATTTTATGGGTTTCGAGTTTTACAAAAAAACAACTTCAAGTATTAATAACTGTGTTCTAAATTTAAAATTTATACATATTTAATGAATTTAATAACATAAATACAAAATTTATATCAGACAAACTTACTGGATTTGACCGAACCCGTAAGTTACCTCCTAGCTCCGTTGCTGCGTATATTATACATGTGCCGTTATTTTTAACTTAAAGTGATTAAATGTACGACTCTCTCGGTTATTTCTTCTAAATTTTTTTTATTCCTAACTAGCTTATTAATTCAGGTGCCTTTGTTTCAACATATGGATAATTTGGTGCTGGAGAACATATGTGATCGCGTGAAGTCCCTGATATTTACTAAGGGCGAAACAGTATGTTCGAATCTCATTAAATTGTTTGTATTATTTAGTAACTCTGATGCAATAAAAGTGAAAATTGAATAACCATTTATAAAATTATTCCTACGTACCTACCGTGATATTTTTGTTGGGAATAAATTCCCACAGAAATAATATTCACGGTAATAAAAGCGGAATAATAATGTAGCACCGAGATACGGTAATTAACAAGAATAAAAGAGTAACAACGACACCAAGATTTTTACGTGGAAAACCCTTTTAATAAGGGAAAAAACCACGGCCCCGAGAAGAACAACTGATATCACTATAGTAAGGAATTTTACACTTTGTAGGTCCGAGTAAAATACTCCAAAGACCACTACAATACTCAAAAGAAATAACCCTCTTTTGATATTCCCACCTCACTACAATATCACTCACTCTCTATTTTCCTCACAGACTATTTTCTTATACCCTGTCTGTGAAACTTCACTCTTTCTTTCTCTCTTTGTTGGTGTGAAGAAATGAGAGTTGAAGCTCTCCTTTTATAGAGCTAGCTTCACTCTCTAAAGCCTACAATATTTGACAATTTATACACACTTTTCACAGTCCAACAAAGTTGGCTACCAAACCAAAGAAATTCAACAAGATTGGCTACCTAACCAAACCAAGTCAACAAGGTTGGCTACCAAACTAAAGAAACTTTTATTAGGCACATGCCTAATACTTCTTCAATGAGATGAACATCATCAATTTTATACCGACTTACTTAAAATTACAACACTAATTTAAAATTCTGAATTTGCCTCTGACTCCATCGTCTTCCCTTTTTTTTTTTTTTTTTTTCCGGTTAGATAACAAAGGAGGGTGATCCAGTTCAGAGAATGTTATTTATAGTAAGAGGTCATCTACAAAGTAGCCAATTATTGAGAGATGGAGTAAAAAGTTGTTGCATGTTAGGTCCCGGCAACTTCAGCGGAGATGAACTTCTGTCGTGGTGCCTCCGGCGGCCTTTTGTAGAGCGGCTACCACCGTCATCGTCGACACTCGTGACGCTCGAGACCACCGAAGCGTTCGGGCTCGAGGCCGAAGACGTCAAGTATGTCACACAACATTTCAGGTCAGTGGCAGTATTTGAGTTACGTGTTCAGTTGAATTCAATATTTTTTTACGCAAAACATAAAGGTATATGTAAATAAGCATAAAATTTTAACATATACTCTCTTTGTCCCATTTTAACTATTTGGGGAGTCAACAATTTTTATTTAACTATGACTTTTTTAAAATGTTTTAAAATATTTTGAATTATCATGTGGATCCAGGATTTACTCTAGGGTAATTCAAAATATAAAGAATTAAACACATGAAGAAGTCAAAAGAATTTTCAAAATCTACTATATACATAATGAATAATTTTAACCTTATATATACAATTTTGCATCCCCTAGTTCCCTCCATGCTAACTATGTTGATTTATACTAGTTGTCTTATAATTTTTAGATATGTATATATTAGTTAAACAAAAGTTAAAGATTTTATGTCCAAGTTTACATTGAAAATTATGTACACTGCCACTCGCACTCTGAACCCCTTAACATTCTTTGGGATAGAAGAAATATTAAGTTTTGAACTCATAATTTTAGTAATAAAATTTATTTAGTACTAAGAATTTTAAACAATGAATTCAACAACAACAACAACAAAAAATCCAGTGAAATTTCACAAATGGAATCTCGGAAGGGTAGTGTGTACGCAAACCTTATCCCTACCTTATGAAGGTAGAGAGGCTGTTTCCTAAAGGCCCTCGACTCAAGAATTGTAAACAATGAATTCATTGCATTTAAATTCTAAATCCGTCCCTGTTAATTTCAGGTATACATTTGTGAAAGAAAAAGTGAAGAGAAGTGCAAGATATTATTCACCAGGGTGGAGAACTTGGGGTGCTGTTGCTATTCAATTGGCTTGGAGGAGATATAAACATCGTTTAACACTTACTTCTTTGTCATTCATTAGACCAAGAAGGCCATTGTCTCGTTGTTCTTCGTTAGGAGAGGATCGACTTAGAATTTATACTGCTTTGTTAACTTCACCTAAGCCAAATCAAGATGATTTTGATTTCTAAAATCATTTAAGAAAAGGCATTTGTACTGATATATAATACTTATAATTTTCTTTAATTCGATTAATTATTAAAGGTGGTATTCACAGTTACCAACAAGAATTGTGGTGAAGTAGTAAATACTCCTTCATTCTTAATAAGAGGTCACGAGTCCGAACTCTGAGCATAGAATCGTCTTTATTAGAAAGTGCTTTACCCCTCAATATGAGACTTACCGGTGCAAATCCAAATTTAATTGGACCTCAATAAAAATATCGGACATCGGGTGAATAAAAAGAGGTTATATTCATAATTGATAACTTGATTTAATTTGTGTGCAATGACACTCTAAATCTTGACAAGATTAGGGTGTCTATGTTTCTACTTGATCATTATTTCCAAATTAAAAAAGAGAGTATTCTTTCTTAAACAGAACAAAAAGGAAATATGATTACATAAATTAAAATGAAAGGAGTAATTGGATAAGTATATGATAAAATAATTTAGGTGCGCTCAAATTGGACACCATAATTATAAAAAGGAATTAGAAAAAAGAGAGAGCAGACTAGCACCTAAATCCTATGTTGCTAGGACTCTCGCTGGGTGCGTGTCGAATCATCCAAATGTAATGTATTTTTGGATGATCCGACACGAATACAATGATTTTGAAGAGTCCGCGGAACATAGCTAAAATTTGACAGTATTAGGACCCCAACAACTCAAATTCATAACTTTATTCAAACTCTCCTCTCTCATCTCCGGCTTCATAATCTTCCCGGAGAACTCAGCAGTCGACGCCGGCGTCAGCGGAGCAACAACTCGGAATAATTTTGCCGGAGTAGTACCAGAAGAAGAAGAAGAAAAAGCTGCTAATAAATTAGTCTTAGCATGTTGGTGCAATGACCTAAAAGTATAAGTCCATCTAGCAAAACCTTGATCTTTGAATTAATTGTTCTTGGTTTCTGCAAAAATATTTAAGTTTTCGATAAGTTATATTATTCTATATAAAAAGAAAAGAGTTTATTTTTTTTATAAAAAACAAGAGTTGAAGAGTAATGCTAATAAAACTATATTGTGCATTTTTTTCCCCCTCAGGTTTCAAGCGTTTCAACAAGTATATTAAAACATCAAAAATTATTTCGATATCAAGTTATTAAATTCTTGAATTTGGTTCTATTATCTAAGATCAATATCTTAGAAGAGATTAAATTATTTATAAAAGAAATTATTAACAACTTTACATCTTAAAAAGGTGAAAAAAATAGACCTTAATTAAAATATATAGATGAATTGTTGTTTTGTTCTATTATCTGAAAGGGCCCCATTAAAAAGTGGCTTTAGGCCCCCAATTTTCTTGAGCCGCCCCTATACTCTTTCATCGTTAATTAGAGGTTTCGGGTTCGAGCCATGAGTAAGAAGTCGTCTTTGTTAAGGAGCACTTTACCCCTCACCTCTCGACGTGAATCCAGATTTAGCCAGGTTCATAACACGGATATTATATATCGGGTAAAACTAAAAAAAGAAAGAAGGGTTCTATTCATAATTAATGCTTGGTTTAATTTGTGTACGCTGATAGTCGAGATGTTGACAAAATTAGTGTCTATGTTTTTACTTGATTTTTATTTCCAAATTTTCAGAAACGGATCATTCTTTTTTGAATAGATAAAAACGAACGAAATATGATTACATAAATGAAAGGAGTAACTGAGTAAGTAACTCATAAAATAATTTAGGTGCGCTCAAATTGGACACCATAATTGTAAAAAAGAATTAGGAAAAAAAGAGAGAGTAGACTAGCACTAAAATCCTATGTTGCTAGGACTCTTCGTTAATGCCGCTAATCCTCTAAATATAATATAATTTTGGAGGATCCAATACCGGTATGACGAGATTTTGGAGAGTGTGCATAATATAGCTAAAATCTGATAGTATTAGGACCCCAACAGCTCAAATTCATAACTTTATTCAAACTCTCCTCTGGTTTTCTCATCTCCGGCCTCATAATCTTGCCGGAGAACTCTGAAGCAGTCGAACGTGGCGTCGCCGGAGCAGCAGCTCAGAATAATTTCGCCGGAGTAGCACCGGAAGAAGCTGCTAATAAATTAGTCTTAGCATGTTGGTGCAATGACCTAAAAGTATAAGTCCATCTAGCAAAACCTTGATCTTTTAATGCCTCAATTGCTCCAATACTTACTGCAACAATCCATGTTGATCTCTTTGTAGCTGCTGCTGCTGCTGCTGCAGTCATTTTCTTGATCAAAATATTAAATTTTGCCAGCTCTTTTTAGGAGATAAGTTAATAGATTGAGAAATAGGAAAACTTGATCATGTATATATATATAGTTTAGAGGAGAAAATATTGATAAATGGTCCCTTATGTTTGAAGTAGGTTTAAAATAGTCCCTTAAATATACTTGTGAATGGCTTCAGTCATTTAAGTTTGTCAAAATCGAATACTTTTGATCTTTGTTAAATACTTAACAAATTCTCCTATTAGATTTAACGGAAACCGTAAAAAGATGATTTAACCAAAAATACCGGGGAAGTTCCATTGAATCTGTTGCAACTTAAAAAACTGCAATAGAAATTGCACATAAAAGACTGCACCATACCCCAAAAATATATCAAAATAACAAAAATTGCAAAAAGAATAGACCTTCAAATGTGAGTTTCCGTTAAATATATATTTTCATAATTTTGTTAAACCTAACAACTAGTGTTTGCTAAATATTTGATAGAGACCAAAGTGCTTACTTTTGACAAACGTAAATGATCAAAATTCATCAGACATATATTCGAGGGACCATTTTAAACTCGCCCCAAATTTTAGGGACATCTTTGTCAAGGAGAGTAGAAAATCAACACGTGTAACTGTTGGAAACAAAATAAAAAAGCCAAAGGGAAAATTGCCTATAATTTAGGCGGAATTGAAAAAAACTAGTGCCTATGCTGACACAAATTATGTTTGAAGTTATTTTTTCTAGTTGGATTGTCCCACAAAATTTGGATCTTGTTGGGTGGTTTTTGCTTCAGATGTACAACATATGCAGACACTGGAAAGTGAAAATGGAATTGTCCCAAATCGTATTTGAAACAAATCTAGATTAGTCGGATCAATAACTTCTCGTTTGGATGGTTGTTACCCATCGTTTTATAATGTACTGTATGATAATGTATTGTAATTGATAAATAATAGATTTGAACTCATAACTTTAAATATATAATGTGCTCAATGTTAAAACTTTTAAAAATTAAATTTATAGAATTTAAACTTTAGATTCGCCTCATCCCTCATTTCATTTCTATCTCATCAGCTGATAAAACACGACTATACCGCCAATGGAACCAATCATTAATTATTAAACTCTTAGGTAAGAGAGTTGCCTACAATTTTCTAAAAAACAAACTACAATAGCTATGGCAAACACCTGACCCACTCCAACTTATTGATCTCGGCTTTGATTATTACGTAATAAAATTTACCAGTGTTGAAACTTATACTCCCTCTGTTTCAGTTTATGTGAACTTATTTCCTTTTTTGTCCGTTCCAAAAAGAATGAACTCTTTCTAAATTTGGTAATAATTTAGCTTAAAGTTACGACTCTACCCGTAATGAGAAGCTTTTATAACCACACAAATACTCTGGGCCCCATTTGGACTTGTTTAGGACCACAAATTTCAAAAGTCTTCATTTTTTTCTTAAACTCCGTGCCCAATCAAACAGGTTCACATAAATTGAAACGGAGGAAGTAACAAAGTACTCTATCAGGGCCCTTTGTATTAAATGTGGCTGTTTAGGACATAATGCCACCCTTTGTTCAGTACCATTAAAGCCCCAATCATCAGTATCAAATTCTACTAACCCACCAGAATCTTCTAATAATTACACCTCTGATTTCCCTACTATTATAGACCACTTGAAAACCTCAAACACTCAACCCAACGACACCCCAACTACTACAACCCTAGAACACATACTCTCACCAATGCCACCTAACACCCAAACTTCATCTATGCTGCATCCACCGCATTGTCCCCTCCCCAACCATTGCCACACCATTGCAACATCATCTACAACTTCTACACAATACACGCAACCTTCCCTAACCTTAGACCCTAAAGAGCCTGATGACAGACCCTCATCACCTAGGCAATCGACTGAAAATCTGTCACCTTAATTTAGAAGCCAAGAATCTCATCATGAAGCCTTGCCTCTCCATTTTCCGTCTCCATTCCCAATACCATCTTATCTCCCTTCAAATACATCTCCACAACCACCCACAGATGCACTTCCAACCATTGTTACACCTGCAAACCAAAATAACACCAAACACAATCATGTATCGCCACAACTATCAGATGCACCACCATCACCACCAACGTCCGCGCTGCTTCATCAACAACATCCACATAAACCACTACAACTATACAATCACTCCACATCCACTTCCAACAATCACCATACTTCCACATGCACTGCATCCAATGGCAAATCAACCTTACTACCACCTTTACCAAGCACCGATGCCACCACTAACCCCACTTCTCCCACTACAAATGCCACAACCAGCTCTAGATTTGACCCTACTCCAACAACAGGCAAACACAATCCTGGAGCACAACGACATATATCCATGCAGATCCGAGAAAGCTTATTCACACAACCACAACTGTACAATGCCATGCAGATACTACGCCAACAGGACTTTGCCACTCTTTGTTTGACTCAAAAGATGTTAGAGTCTTTTTGGACAAATCAATCAAAATGAAGGGATAAATCATAATCAAACTTAATTGATTCCAGACCAAGAGATTTCATAATAATAAATGTGTAGGGGATGACAAAAATATCGACAATCTCATTAAGATTCAACATTGCCTTCTTCCTCAGTCCCTAAGGAAAGAATATTACAATTGCTTTTTTCTATACAAGATACAAGAAAGGAGCTTTGTTCTTATTTTCCTTCTGTGGGAAAAATGGAGAGAAACCCCCCCTCCCCCTTGAAAGCCTTCCTGGGGTATGTATATACAATTGAAATCCCTTCACCCTTAGAGTGACTTGACGCGCTAGGGCCAGCGGTGCATTCTGGTCGTGATTCCAGGCGTTGCTTTTTTCGATT